AAGGTGCTCGGGGGGCCTCCCGCCCTGCGGCCTCGTCCCGCCCGGGTTTTCCCAGCGCTGGCAGTCACTCGGTTTATTTAAAAACGCTGCTACACCCACGGCTTTCAGAATCTTTATTGCTGCTTTTTAAACTCCTGGCCGTACGGAGGCCATGCCCTTCTGGTTGTTCATTTATACTTGGTCCTTTCACTTGGCACGCCGTGGCCTCTGCTCCGGGAGGCGGCTCAGGGCTGGCTAGGGCAGCAGTGCAGGGGGCAGGAGGGCTGGCTGCTCCCTGCACTTGGGTTGCCACACCTTGGAAACCCACCCAAGCTCTGCATTGTCTGTCCTCTGCTTCACAGGTGAGCGCTTGGGAAAGCTTGGGTAGATACATTTGCTTCTCACCAAAAATAGATCCGAGGCGTGTGCCAGAATTGTGTTTTTAAGTTGCCAGGAAAAGGCCTGGATTAATTAGCTCAGTGCCCTCTTCCAGTACAGCAGCTGGTAATCAGAGACCCCTGTTCTAAGCTTGTCCTCTTGAGCTTAAGACATCACATTAGTTTGGAAGCATTAGAGCACTGTATGTTGTGCAGCGAGCAGGTTAGCAAAAGCAGGGTCTGGTATGGGGGAGCTGTGTGCACCTACCCAGCAGGGGTTCCTGCCATGTGCTGGTTGAGTTATTGCTGCCCTGCCCCGTGGCTGCCACAGGGCAAACCTGGTGCCACGTTTGTTTAACGGCGCTTCAGGTGACGGCTGCTCTGAAGGCTTCACACGCTGCCGAGAGCTTACACCTACAGAAACCAGTTGAGGCTTGAGTGAGTAAGGGAGGAAAGCACGAAGCTGGTAACGCTTTCAGCTGGTCTGGTGCTCTGACAGGAAGATCAGGACGCACTGCGCGGAGCCCTTCACCCAGTACTGGACGTGCATCGACTACTCGGGGCTGCAGGAGCTGCGCCGCTGCCGCAAGCAGCAGGCCCTGTTTGACAGCTGCGTGCTGGAGAAGCTGGGCTGGGTGAGGCCTGATCTGGGACAGCTCTCCAAGGTAACTTCATGTCTCGTTGGTCAGATAGCCAGTTTCATCTCTCCTCTGGACGTTTTGTCCAGACCAAGTCTCAAACTCTTCTCCCGGTCAGAAGGCAGTTCATGATCTCAGCACTGGAAGCTTGTGGACTTAATAGAGGTCAAGACTCTGAGTTCTCCAGGGTTGCTTTCCTAGAAGACTTGCAGTTTTCTTAGGCAATGACACTCTTGCTTTTTGGTTTTCCAGGGGCTGAGACTTTTCATTCAGGAGTGACACTCATGTGTAGAACTACTCTGTAGTTACAAGTGGGATGTCCCTCCCCCCCTGTTTTTAGAAGTACCCTGGGGACAGGAGGTCTCACTAGATCAACAATGTGTCCTTAGTGTTGTTTGCTACTTCTTGGTAGTTCTCCCTTAAAGTTCTCACTCAGTGTAGTTTTTTCTGCTCAAAGCTGTGAGAAGTTGTATAATTTCTTCTTTTTTCCTTCCCAGGTCACCAAAGTGAAGACAGACCGACCTTTGCCTGAGAATGCCTATCACTCTAGACCTAGACCAGAGCCAAATCCACCCATTGAGGGGGAGCTGAAACCTTCTCCCTTTGGCAGCAGACTCTTCTTCTGGTCCTGGTGAAGCGGGCGGGCTGGGCTGCACCTCAAAGATGGGTTGGTTGCAAATGTAAATTATCTATTATGTGTTGAGTAGAACTGTAATGATTAAAGAACCCCAAACTGTTAGATGGCTGAGTAGACTTATTTAAACATGCTCACACATCATAGTAACTAAAAAAAGATATATATTTGCCATTTTTGCACAGTGGTCTCTGCAGTCATACAGCTCTGGGGACTCTCACAGCACCAGTGGCACCAGTTGCTGTGCTGTGACTACCAGGCTTGTCCCAGGTGAGCCTGTGACTGCTGCTCCAGTCATTCAAAAACTGCTGTGAGTCTATTCACGTACTTGCTGAGAACACTGCCACTTGGATCAACGAAACTGGGAGAACAAACAAGTCATTACTATCTTGCAACTGATAATTGTACATTTTTTCCAAGGGACTCCATCTCTATGGGTTTAACCTAAAACCTGTCTTCTAGCAAGGGTTCTGTGGCTTTTGCTGGGTTTGAGGTCAGTTCTGTTTCTGCCATAAATGTCCTTGTTCTGCTTTCCAGCCACTTCCTTGGGTAAGTAGGTAGTTAAGTGGCTTCCGTTTTTTCACCTTTTATTGGGGGAACACAAGCTACTTCATCAGAAAAATCACACTAACTTTTCAATCCTTTTAGGGGAGAATTATCTCCTAAAGGATCTTATTACAAAGGTCAGAAAAAATTAAATCAACTTGTTTTCACAAAGCCATGTGCAGCTTAGCTTGCTCCAGGCCAGACTGCAGCCTGAACCACAGCAAGGGCTGGAATGGTGCTTTGCTCCCTGAGCAGCTCAGCTGTTATTAGAATCTGAAGATTTACCATCTTCCTTGTTTGAGGTAGGATTAAACTGTAATGGGTCTGTAGCTGCAGCATATGTTTCTGATCCATGGAGCTAGAGGGAAAATTGTCTAACATGGATCTAAAAATAGCTCCTGCACTGTGTGGCTTGTGGGTTCTTGCTGCTTTTTGCTTGGGTGTGTTGACTGAAACTGAAAGCAGGTTCCATGGCATATGTGTTTGCATTTCAGTGCACAGATCATGCTGCTGCAGCAGCTCCTTGTCTAAATCTGTGAGATGCTGTGCACCTTTGCAGCCTCTCCCTGCCAGCATTTCAGAGCAGCCACGTATTGCTGGGGGGCCACAACCCTTTTCTGCAGACTGAAACTGGGACAAGCTTGAGGTCTAATTACATTCAGCTGCGTGAGTGAAATGAGGTTTGGCCAAGTGGAGGATAAACTGTTCTGGGATGTTAACACGTGTCACATCTGATCTTTTGTTGCTGACCCACTCCAATAGTTAGGCAGCCTCTCAGACTTTTTAGATGTTTCTTGGTATGTTTTGCTGTTAACTTGCTGTTGTCAGCAAGAAACATTGCACTGCTGAACATCTGCTTTTGAAGAAAAAGAATACATGGGCATTCCAGTAGCCAGTCCCAGTCATAATTAAAGAGCATTTTTCCCATTAAATTGATTCTGAAAAGAATGATGTGTATAAATAGGGGAGGTAATTTTTTTGAACAGCCTTTTATGAACCCTATGTTGGCCATTTCTGTAAGCAAAAAAAAGTAGTGTTTTAGGCTGCAGCCTCAAAGGGTTAAGATTGTTCATCTATTTTGAGACAACTGAACCTGTTTTGTCACAGATGGTTGATCCAATAGTGATGCACTGACCAGGTTTAAAAGTCAGAATTAACCCCTAGATTCCCTCTCCAGTTTCAAGCAGGAGTGGGCAGGTGAATGTACAAAAGGGAACAGCAGAAGAGGACAAAGTGGTAACGTCAAGTAGAATTCAGTTGTACTTGGAGCACTTCTTTCATGAAACTTCTTTGAGATAATTGCTTCTCATTTTTATCTCTTGGCTCAGTCTCTGAAAAAGTGTTTGCAGAGCTCTGCTGCTTGGTGCACCAGCAGTGCCTGCCTGTAGCTATTTCTGCTCAAAATCGTGTGGCTTTACTCAAACATAGATGCCCCCTTTGGAGCTGTAATGTTTTCTTGGAAACTTTAGAACAAGTGAGTGTCAAGACTGAGTAAAGACCATAGAAGTATTTTTGAGGAATGAGTCTTGACACCTTCTTGGCGGAGGGGGAGCAGCCATGGACAGATTCCACAGGCACTTCACTGGCCATGTGGGTTGTGATGCTGCAGGCCCAGCTCTGCCAGAGCTTCCAACCACGTGTGCCCCACGAACAAAGTGTTCAGGCAGTGTCGTGGTCGCTCATGGGGCTGTGGGTGAGATTGGAGCCTGCTTTGTTCTTTCAGAGGGTGAGTGGGAAGAGTAAAACCCCAGTGTAATTCCTAATCTCAGTAAGGTAAGGGTGTGTGTTCCTGGTGCAGCAGAGGTGTGTGTGGTGCTGGCACAACAGCAGCCAGAAGAGAAGTTCCACCACTAAGGCAGTTGGCAGTTTGACATGTCCTGGTCTCAAATGGTTCTGCTGGAGAAGGGGAACTGTTAGCCAGAACAGCCAGGAGCCCAAGAGCAATCTCACTCTATTTATAGCCCCCAAATCTGAGCAATTGGTGGGAAGTAATGGGTTTTATTTAGCTCTCTTGTGAGTTTCCTAACTCTGTTGGATGTCATATTATCATCCCTGCTATAAAATACACTTCTTGGGGTCAGTTCAGGTGGAACTAGGCTTTTGAGCATTTGTAAACTGAGTTGGGCTAAGGCAAAATCCTGCATCTTTGTACCAAGGATTTGTAATTTTAAAGAACCTTTATCTTCAGAACCAGGAAACTGCTATAACACTAGGGAAGAAATGTGGAGCTCAGGTTAACTCTGTAAAATCCTTTTGAAAACTTTGTCATACTACAAGAGTTTTGAAAAGATAATTCATCTGGGTATTAATAGGAGATTTAAGACTCCCTCTTGTGGCTGCATTGAGCTGATCGTGGGCATCTGTGTGAAGGTTTTGCCATCATGAAAGTCTAAAAGCTACTCCAGTATTGATAATAGAAACGTGACTAGGTCTTGTGTTTCTACAACATTCACTTCAACATTGTTTCAACTTGATTTTTCCTACATACCAGAAACGTGACTAGGTCTTGTGTTTCTGCAACAACATTCACTTTAACATTGTTTCAACTTGATTTTTCCTACATACAGAATCTCTTGAATTGCATACAAAGTCAGAAGAGGAAGAAAAATGCTTTGAAAATATTCTGATCACTTCAATCACATTTGATGTGACTTTAAGAAAGTTATGATAGAGCCATAGTAGAAGGAGGTGGTTGGGAAATCCCAGTATAAACTGGATTTGCTTCTTTGAATCCAGAAAGGGGGTGTCCCTGGCTCAGCGGAGAACAGGATGGTTCTGAACCTGGGGGGCCAGTGCTAGCAGTGTGTGACAGGCAAACACAAAGCAGGTTAATATTTAACTTCATGTAAAAGCACATTATTTCTCTTCATTAGGAATAGAGGTGACCTTGCTGAAAGGTCTTGGTAATGTAACCCTGTGCTTTGGTTGGTAATGTTGTGGTTATGGGCTTTCATGTCAGCTGGGGCCTGGATCTGGATCTGAGACACCTCGACACCTCCTGCATGGCTGAGTGTGGTACAAATAGTACTTTGGCAAAGGGAGAAGAAGATCTGAGAAAATACAGACCATCAAGCTAGAAGCAAGAAGTCTGTAGTGTTATTTTGGCTATAAAGGCAATAAAGCAGCTGCTGAAGGGGGGGCTGAACCCAATGGCAGGTCAGCAGCTCTGCTCATGTGATGGTGCAGGGGTTATTCCCAGGTTTATTCCTTTCTGCATCAACAAGAAGTTTCTCCACTCTCTTAGTCGTGTTGCAAAAGCTCTGGCAAGCCTGAGGCATGGGTGCAGGTTCCTCTTGTGGGAGGTGTTGGCCCTTGAGAAGGGCAATGCAGAGGGAGCTGGCAAGAGGAGCTGCACAGCCTGGGACAGAACCAGGAGCTGCTGGGACATGAAGAGCTTTGCTGCACCTGGCTGGTAAGGGCTCAGAAAGAAACAGGAGCATTTAATAAACCCTTCTGTCTTGCTGACATGCCAAGCATCTCCCCATTGCTGCTGCCCTGGCTGCCTGTGAATGAGCTTGGATCACGTTTGTCTGCTGCAGATGCCTGAACAAAGGGATTTCAACCTGCAGGTTCCTGTGCTCTTGGCTGGGAACTGCAGATGGTTCCCGGGAGCGCTTCGCTCACGCTGGGCTCTGCAGCACAAGATGGTGAACAGCTTTTGCTGTTTTGATAGGGTTTAAATTAATTTCTTCTTTCCCACCAGGGGAAATGAGGGCTGGGAAGAACGGCCGTGCCTGTTGCTTTGTGAGGCTCAGCTTATGGCTCCGATTCCGGCACCAAGAAAGGCAATAAAATACAGGGAAGGGAGCTCTGTGAGGGGCTCTGGGGCTGCTCCCGAGTCGAGAGGTTAAGCTGCACAAAGCCCTGGTTCTGAGGCATGGCTCCAGTGTTTGTAAAATCAGCGTGGCAGCTCTGTTAAGGGCTGTGAGTCACCCCGAGGGAGGTTCAGCTCTTAGCAAGCGGTAGCGCAGCCTTACGGGAGCGAGAATTCTGATGGAGGCAGAATTACCCCTTAGGTTGGAGCCCGGCGGACCGCGGCTTTGTTGTGCTGCCTCCGGCTGCGGCCGCGCCGGACACACCTTTGTGTGGCGGGAAAGGAGC